GAAAAAGAAAGATTTGATTTGACTAACACAGGAATACTTTGACGAATAAACTTTAATAATGTATTAAGAAATAGAAAAATTGCATTCGATGATTTCTCATTGATATATTTTGATTTGATTTGTTCGATCGTATTGTCAATGTGTGGATGATGAATGATCTTTGCTAGACATGTGTAAAGTTCATCACAAGTAAAATATATGTTAAGAAAATCTTGTAGATGTTTTATCCAAGTATTTGAATAAATTTCAATGGATTTAGTTAATATTGAACATAGTTGAGCAAATTGTTGATGATGAAAAATATAATTTAATAAATTTGAAATATAATTTGAATCGATTTTAATTTGATGAACGAAAGATTTTATTGCCATAAATGTTCCATAGATTAAACAATCAAATCCTAAATCAAATTCATTTTCGTTAAGACAAAATTTATACATAATTATTTGTAATGTTGAAATTATTTGAAAATCTTCTGGATTATTCTCATCATATTTCGAATATTGTTCAATAAAATAATCGCGATAATGAGAATTATCATTTTTATTCATTCTCATCATTTTTCTATAGATATTCCATATATGATTTGTTTGTAATTGTGTTATAACTTCAAGAGCTTTACTATAATATATTTCTGCATTTAAATAATCTTGTTGATGACGATAATGATCTGCATAAGTAATAAATTTATCAAAATTATTAGTTTGATCATTATTAATATCAGGCAATACATTGGAGTTTTGAATTATTTTCGAAAGCATTTGTTGACCAAGTTGTAAACTCATCCCAATAACCTGCCGTGCATAATCTGTACCTTGAGCATCAACCATCATTTTTATGTGTGGTAATCCTTCGAGGAAAATAGAAATCATATTCGTAGAATTTGTTGATGATTGATATTGAAGAGCTTTGTAACAATATTGTTCTGCACAATTAATATTACCGGATTGTATGCTACCCATTACTAATAAACTATAAACAGCACTAAGAAAATCTTTATTGGTGGAAAAATATGGATTTACTAATGCTTTTTCTAAATATTTAATTGCTTGTGAAGATCTTTCATTTTGTATTAGAAAATATCCATATAGAAAATAAAAAGTAGCAAACATTCGATGAGTTGATGGATAATAACATTTCATATATTCGAAACCCTTTTCCATAAAATTTAAAGCTTCCGATGTTTTATTTAAACGACAATATACAGTTGCCATTTGTAAATAAATAATTCCATTAAAAACATTTCCAATTGTAAAAGGTATCGAAGATATTATTTCTAATGCTTCTTCCCAATGATTAAGAGCATCATTTAATTTTTGTTCTTCGGAAAATCTATTACCTAAAATTAATAAACGGATTTTTTCATTGATGTCATTATCAAATTGTTTATTTTGTAGAAATGATTGTTGGATATTTAATAAGATTTCATTTCCTTGTTCATCGGGATCATCTAATGTATGAGGATGAGGATGAGAAGATGGCATAAACGACGTTTGTGTAGATGATTCAAATGATTGTAATGCATGTGAAAAATATTTCGATGCTAATTCTTTTTCTTCGATTCCTGCATAACCTGTACCGAATAATGTATAGATTAATATTTTCAATTGGTCATCAATCCAATCATTTTTTAAGAGTATTTCAAAATATCGAATACTTTTATTGGATTCACCAATAAGAAATAAAAATCCTCCGAAACAAAATAAACTTATTTTATCATTCAAATTAAATGAGATTTGTTCATGTTTAGTTTTGTTTGAAGAATAAAGAAATCGATTGAGTATATCGAATAAAAGACAAATTGATCTTTCACTAGAACGAATCATATCATGATTTGTTTTATTAATGAATTCAAGTAAATTATTATCTGTATCGATAAGTTCTTTCATTCGACATTCTTTTTTGTACATATTGATGACAAATATTTGTGTTAAATCAGCAAGAACAAATTTCATTAGTTCTGTAAATGATCTAAAATCGCCATGAGAAGTTGTTGTGAATAATTGTTTAAATATATAAAATGGAATTTGTTTACGAGATATTTCATATAAATGACTTTTAACTTCATTCATCAATCTGTTTACATTTTCATCTGCTTTACAATCGGTTAATTCCAAATTGACTATCATACAATAATCTGTATCCTCAATAGAAATAAACTTGAAAACAGTGGACATACCAAAGAGAATTTCTTCTTCATCTTCATAGTCACTAAATTGCTTAATGTCAGCAAATATTTGAGTTCGAGTGTCATTTTTTACCTCGTCATTGATTGTAATTTGAAGCATCACAGACGTGTTCTTATCAGCGCCTAAAATAAAACCAAGAGCCACATCATGATTGACTGTTGTCGATAAAAATGTGTTCATTGCTATAAGATCACCAGATTTACTTTCACGAAATTTCTTTAATTCATTAATATGCCACAATGCTTGTCCACGATACACAGTCAATGGTCGTTTACTATACAATTTATCCTTCTGTTGTACATATAGATGTTCTAATTGATTATTAAGATCTTTAACAAATGAATGAAATTGTATTATTAAATCACTATCCACAGTTCGACATGCTTTGTTAAATGCACGATATAGAAATGAATCTCTCGTATACCATTTTATAGCTTTATGCGATGTATACATCGTTAAGAATTCATCAATATGTGCTTGTTTAATATCAATAGAATCACTTATATCGATTTCATTTACACGATGAGACGCTTCAATGATATTTTGATTGTCTATGGGTGAACAAGGAATGTTAAAAAGTACATCAAGCATAAATTGATGCCATAAAAATGTTTTAGTATCATCATCTTTCATATGACAAAGTGAATATTGTTCAAGATCTTGACGAAATATACTGAAAGGTATACCGGAAGAAGGATATGAGGGTAACATATTCACTGGAGTTGGCGTGACCATTTGATTTTATTTTACTTTGTCAATTGTTTTGAAAAAAAGAAGATATTGTCGTTAGTTTATTTTCTTTTATATAGGTATGTCAGATGAGACAAGTACGATAAGATATAGTTTTGTCTTTCATTAAAAACTACCTTTATACAATATGATAAACACCACACACACACATTATTCGTCTCTTCTTTTCTTTTTTTCTCTTTGATGTTGTTAATATAACTAGAGTGAGTGGTAAGAATTTTATTTTTGTGAATATATATTTGTCGAGTCATTCGATAATATTTACTCATGATTATTCTTATGTAGTTCTAAAGAAGAAAGCAATGAAAATACGATCGTAATGAAAACATAAAGACATGATTCAGTCTCTTTTTCTCTTCGTTATTATTCAAAATATTTGCACATATTTTAAACACATTGTATTACACGTGTCATTTAAAGAATAAAATTGCACAATTTTTTCGATAAGTTTTGACATGTCTAATAAACATAGAGAATAAGAATATTATTTCTTTCTTTTCTATAATTGCTTCAACGTGAATCGATTATAACAACCTTTCTATATGTACATCTGTTTCTTATTGGAATAATATTTTTCCTGTTCTGTTCTAAATCATTAAAATATATTTTTTTGTAAGAAAAAAACAAGAATATATTTGTCCTACTTTTATCGATAATATAATAACTGAATAGATTTTATTTTTGTTAATAATTTTAGATTTAAATATTAATGGATAAAAATGAAGAAATCTCGGATATAATTTGTGATAAGAATGATTCCCCATTAAAAGGTATTCGTTCAGGTGCAGTTCTACGACCAGAACCACTTTTTCATCGTCGAACTCGATTAATAATTGATACACATTATAATGCTGAACATAATTTATTACGAAATGGTGTTGAAGAAATAGAATTTGAAAATTTAAAATTAATTTCATTAGATAAATTATTTGATAATAAAAATGAAGTGTTTATTGGATTTGGTAAACCAAATGTTTATTTAACAATTCCAAATGAAAATTATGATCAATATATTAAATTTGCTGCTTTTATCTTATGGCGTCAATTAAGTGCGATTATTCCAACAAAAGGTCGGGTTCAATCAGGTTTTATTATACGTTTTCGTGATTTATCTAAATGTCAAATAGAAAAAATTCGTGAATCAATGATAAAACATTCAAATAGTCGACATGTTTCATGTGCATATGCAAATGCATGTGTATTAAATTCAGCTGGATTTCGAAGTGGTGATTCCGAGTTAACAAATCATTATGGTGCACGTTCATTATTTCAACGAATTTATGAATATGGTTTAGAATTTGAAGGAAGAGAAATGAAATTAGATTTTATTCGAACAACAAAATTATCACTTGAAGAACATTTTCATGAAGTTAGAAAAAAAGAATTTACAAGTTTAACTCGAACATTTAAAAAAGTTTATAATGAATGTTTATCATCAAATGATAAACAACGAGCACCATTAATTCATGTTCAAGATATTCCTATGAATCCAATTATTATATCAAATGAATATTCTTTAACTAGACTAGAAATCTCACGTCCAAAACGAATTGGTGCTATTATAAGAAAAATTTGGGGTTCACATACATTATTTAAAGTTATTCCAAATCGTGAAAAAATTGATATTAATTCTTATCTTCCACAAACATTAAAACCATTTCCAATTCAAAATCCAGATTTATTTACAAAAATAAAAAAATATTTTCTTTTTTCTCGACCAGTTGTTACAATAATAAGAAAACAAATGGCTTCACTTTGGGATGATCATGGACAATTTTCTTCTCAATCATTAGCATCAATGATGAGTATTAATACAAAAAATGAACCACATCCATATAATATTGTTATTACTGGACATCATTTAATAGGGATGCATAATAATCCATTTTTAAATTCCAAATTAGTTGATTGGTTATTATCAAAACATGTTCTTATATCAGGTTATGATGATGATGTTAGATTTGCTGGTGAAGCTTGGATGGAACATCAAGAACAAGGTGTTATTATTCATATTAATAATAATTCAGGAACTTATAAACCTAATAATCAACAACTTATTAAAGCTTCACAATTTATATCTCATGCATTTCCAGGATTAAAAGTTCAAATACATGAAAATCAACAAATTTTATCAAAAGAAAATTCAATTGAGAAAGATAAAAATCAGTTTTTTACAATTAAAAATCTATTTATTATATTATTAGCATTCATCTTTTGGTTATGTTTTATTAAATTTGGTTATTTCAATTAAACATTATTTTATTACTTAGGAAAAACTATTCTCCATCGTTTTATTTCTATAAAATATATTATTTTGTATCAAATTCAAAACTAGTTGAAAATTTAATTTAATTTTTTTTCATGTCTGTTTTACTTAAATGAAACGAGAAAGAGGAGTAATATTTACATGAATGAAAACAAAAAAAAGTGATTTAGTTAGTTGAGTATGTAGATGAAGCTGTTGTACTGTAAAATACACCGAAACCACCAAAGAAAAATGCTAATAAAAGTATAAAAGAAATTATAATAATAATCAATTTTGATTTTGTTGGATCATTAAATTTACAAATATTCCAATATAAATTTGGACATATGCATAAACCAGAAAGAATTCCAATAATAAAACCTCCAATATGTGCCATATAATCTATCATTGGTACAAAAACACCAACTATTAGATATGCAATAGAAAAACCTCCGTCAATAATTAATCTAAACCAAGGTTTTGATAAACTTTTCCAATTACGAATCATATCTAATAAATAAACAGCAAATATTCCGTATAATGCTCCAGATGCACCTGCACTAGCTAAAAATATAATATCACTAGACGTTTTTTGTTCTTTATTGATACTTATTTACTTACAAGATTTTGGAAGTCCAATTGCACTTAATAATATTCCACCAATACCTGATAAAATATATATAATACCAATACGAATCAAACCAAATTTTCTTTCTAATGGTATTCCAATGACAAGTTGACCTATTAAATTTATAATTAAATGAATTATTCCAACATGGAGAAATATTGGAATTAGAAATCGATAAATTTGATATGGAAAACCTTTGAAATTTTGTGCATTACATAAATAACGAAGACATTCTTCATAGGTACATGTTTGACTATTATATTGACAATTAATTGTTTCATTTAAATAATTTTCTTGTGTTGATTTCATACAAGGAACATATTTAGCTCCATTACGAATAAGTGTTACACTTGATGGACCAGCCATTGGATTATCAGACATTGAAGATAAACCTTTATTATCAATTATTGTATAGATAAGTAACGCCATTTCAACAATACTGATTAATATTATGAATACTGGAATATGAGTATGAGATTCTCGATGAGCCTCATCTATGAAGAATTTTTTTAACCAAGACATTTTTCTCAAATTAATTAAATTTTTTGTACGACAAATATACGTATATGAAAGAAATATGTTTCATATAAAAATAATTCATACTTGATTCTTTTCCTGACAAAATTTTGTTCGATCTTAACTTCTATAATTTTATTGTTATGTATTTTTATTATGATGAATAATATTCTCTTTTTTTATACTTTCCAACATACGAATAAATAAGTTGAATAAACAAAAATCATTCGTATAAGGATTCGATTTTTTCAAATTTATACTGCATTTGTAAAAAAACAGAAGATAAGAAAAAAATCGAATCAATTTCTCTTATCAACAAAAGACAAACATAATAAAATCATTTCAGATTTTTCTTCTTACATGAGTAATAGAAACAACATGAAATTATTCAAAAAAATAATTCATCCTTATTTATTTTTTTCTCTTGAAGAGATAAATCAGCAGTGGAGATGAAAACCGGATAGTAACAGATCACTGAATAGATATATATACAATTCTTTCGTGATGTAACTGGTGTATGTGTTGAGAAAAGATATTACACATTTTCTCATCCACATCACGAAGTTGAACAAGATTAGAAATATAAACGAGAAAGACACGAAACGATATTTGAAAATTTGAAGTCTTAGCAGTGCAACGTCGCATAATAACATAGAGTATGTGATGGATGTGGATGAGAATTCAGTATGTGTTTTCAGTTGCCATTTATATCCATGGAGACTTATGAAGAATACAATTAAATATTTACAATAATTTTGTTTTCCTACTAAAAAATTATTCTAATAACTATATGAATTACTAAGAGATGAATTTATACGATATAGACGAGATCAGATATGTCATCGTACATAAAGAAGTAAGTTGAATTCCAATGATGTTTTTTGAATAATCAATAATATGTGATTTTTGATTCGTAAAATAATATATTCCATGATAAGTTTTCTTTAGTACCTCAAAGGTTTGCCATAGAATTTTTCATTTCTATGTTTTTTTCGTATGTTCATATTGTATATATTTTCAATGACGATTGTTTTTGTATTACATAAATGTAAACATAACTGTTTCCTTTTTTAATTATTAATTGTATCCTCCTAATGTTGTTGTGAGAAAGTACATTTCTAAGACAATGGCGTATGTAAAAAGACGTCAGAGTTTAGACATTTACGTCATCAGTCAAGTAAATTAATTAAGAAGAAATAAAAAGAAATTGTTAATAACCGTTGTTTTCATATATTTTATTGCATAGGTAAAGAAGAGTATGTACAATTTATTTCTATCTGACGTATTTTATAATGCAAAACAAAAAAACCAATACATTGTTTCTGATATGTTTAATATCATGTGTGAATGTCAGGTATTGTCATACTTAAAATAATAATTAATTATTTTCTCTCTCTCTCTCCCTCGACGTACACCTATATATATATCGATACATTTGTATATGTTTTCATCATTCAATAACCTAGTCATTCTTATTCCATCTGTGAATATTTATTGATTGGAATATTTTCATTAAAATGAGTGTATTCGTCAATTCTCGTCGTGTTGTTTATCGTGATCCATTCGATGATTTTCATGTGACATATATTAAAAAATCTCCAAGACGTATTTATTCAATCGTTGATAAGCCTGCCAGAATTGTTACTGTTAAATCAAGCCCATCTGTTCGATATCGTGTCAAAACAAGTAATCTATTTCATTCATCACCATTCAACTTTATCATCTAATCAAAATCAAATTTTTCTATAAACAACTCATATAATATAATTACACAAGAACTATGCATTTTTTTTATTTTCAATAAATAAATACACATCAGAGTTTTGAAAATTTCAATCTAATAATATCTTTTATTACAAAGTCAAAGTTAAAACGATATATGATCATTGATCGATTAAAGAGAAATAAAAGTGATGTTTCTTTTCCAAAGAGACAATTTATTCACTTTAATATCTACGCCATATGGTAATTAGATAGTTTATCATCTTGTCTAAATAGAATTTCTCGCAATAAGATTTCATTGTTCATAAAAATGTGTTCCGCTATAGCAAATCTAAAATAAACTCGACTAGAAAGAGTCGAAAGTTATGATCAAATTCATATATTTAAAACCGTGCACATATTTATAGTAAATGTTAATATTACATTAATGCAACGGAAATTTATTTTGAAGATTCTTCTAATTATACAAATGCTGAGGTAAATGCAAATGAGGGATAAGATGAGTACTTGAATTCATCCGATCTCTAATACAAAATGCGTATAATAATAAATAAAAAGTAAATCAACAAATGAATATATAATATCATTGAAATACAGTTGTTTAGTTGTTATTTTTACCTATTTTATATTGATTTCTAATATATATTAAATGTTTTTAATGTTGTTATCTTGTAAATTATACATAAAATTTAACTATTTGTTAAATAAATTATTTTATCTTATATCGTATGTTTGGTAGATTTCGAGTTTGTATTTATATTAATAATCATAGAAAATGAACCGAATCTTAAAAGAATCTCGAATTAGAATTTTCTACGCAATTCTATCCTTTTCGTACATTCCTTTTTTCTCTCCACATGGATTCTCTTTCTTTCTTTCTTTCTTTCTTTCTTTCTTTCGAAATATTATACGATAAGATAAAATTATGTGGCTAAGAAAAGAAACGATGAATTACAATTCTAATAATATCGAAAACATTTCTGACTATTTATTTATATCCAAATAGTATATCGAAATAAAAATATTTCTTATTAATTAATCATTGACTAGTTTGAACATCTAATAAATACAAAACGTACGATAAGTGCATGGAATAATCTTAGAGATTTTTATGTTTTACAAATAAATTCTAACAGATTCCATAGTTTATCTATGAAATAATTTTCTATTAATATTCATCATCATCATCTATTATTTTCTATTAAATCTTAAAAATATAAAAAATCTATGTGAATATTGGAATAAAGATATAATCGATACAAGTGTACTTGGGTTTAAACTTAATAATTAGATTTCGTTTTTGAATAATCTATCAACTAATGTTATACTCGAATAAATATTATTTTCTGTATAGAATATTTACTGATTGACTTCGTAGTTCAGGTGGAAAAGATAAAGTCTTTTACATGAATTATGATTATCTTTAGCTAGTTGAAAAAATTTTCTACATAAAATATTTTCAAATGATTTTAATAATCCATTCAAAGAATCTACGTTTGATCAATGATTTGGGAGAAAAGAAATAACTATATCTTATAAATATTTCATTATTTCGATGCATTAAGGATATCTTGAATCAAGATAGTTTTAAAATTTATTAGAAACAAAACTTTTTATTTCATATCAATTGTTCTCTACTTAAATAACATTAATTATATTTTAGAAAGTTAAAGATCATTTTTCATATATTTTATTTTAAAATGAATATTAAGTTGGATAATCGAAAAGAAAAGAAAAGTGAACGAATTATTATTCTTCGATCTTAATTCTATAGAATGATTTATTGTTTATCTCATTATGACCTAATAAAAGTCATAGGAATGTATTTCTTAAATATTTGTTTATAAAAATCAGATTTATAAAATTAAATATATTGTTTATTAGAAAAACAAAAGTCAAATAAAAAACTTTCACACAGAAAAAAAATTAAAATCTTGAATATAATATATCAAAATTAACTAAATCAAAACAAATATTAATTCAATTGATTATTAATAAAATATAAAGTTTTTGTTAAAAGAAAATTCTTTTATTTGTTATCTATTTATTTTAAAAAACAGTTTGTAAAGGTATAGATGTTCCACTAAAAAAATCAAATAAAAAGAATTTTTAATATTTTAAATAAATTTAATTTTACCGTCGTGTAAAATAAATAAAGGAACCAACAGCCGCTGAAGCTGTTGTTAATACACCAGCTCCTAAACCTACACCTAAACCTACTTTCAATCGATAATTTTCATTTTGAAGATCTTGAATTGAATTTGTTAATGCTAATCGTTCAATTTCATCAGGTGATTGTGTTGTTGTTGCTGTTGCTGTAGTTGTATTTGGATTTATAGTTGCTGATACATAAGGAAATGTTGCAGTTACATTTATCCAACAATCCCAATATAAACATACTGGTAAACAAGTTGTTGTTGTCGTTGATGTTGTTGCTAAAATTATATTCAGATTTATATATTACTATACTAATTAATTAATAACAACTCGATTTTATATTGAAAATCTTCAACTTATTCTTCAAAAATATTCACTACTTTTATTTATAAACAATGTTATTATTACTTATAACATAGAGATTTTTCTTATTTTGAAAATTTATCTTCTTTTTCAAAAAGTTCAAATAATATTTCTCAGTAACTGATAATAAATAAAAGTTATTTTCATTTTTGATTTCCAAGGTAATTTTTCCTACTCTAGATTATTTCTAAAATTATCTTTTTATTTTAATTTTTTCTTATCAAAAAAAGTATAATTAAATTTAATGGATATAGAAAAAATATCTATATATAGTTTATTAATAAATTATTTAATTCAAATAAATAATTTTCTTTTTTTCTCTTACTTGATGTTGTGCTAGTTGAAGTAGTACTAGTAGTAGACGTCGTTGATGTTGATGTTGAAGTACTACTAGTTGAACTACTAGTTGATGTAGTACTTGTGGAAGAACTTGACGTTGAACTTGTACTTGTTGTTGCAGTCGTTGTACTTGATGTGCTACTAGTACTAGTAGAAGTACTACTTGTGGAGGTACTAGTAGTTGTTGTCGTAGTCGTTGAAGTTGTACTGGTGGTACTAGTTGTACTTGAAGTGCTTGTTGAGCTTGTAGTAGTAGTACTGGTTGCAGTTGAGGTGCTTGTTGAACTTGTGCTTGTAGTATCTGTTGTCGATGTAGTACTAGTGGATGTTGTAGCAGTAGTGCTAGTTGTTACTGACGTAGTTGTCGAGGTTATGCTTGTAGAACTAGTTGTCGATGTTGTAGTAGTGGCAGTTGTACTTGTAGAACTTGTTGTTGCTGTTGTACCAGTGGAAGTTGTACTAGTACTGCTTGTTGTTGATGTTGTAGTTGTCGAAGTTGTACTAGTAGTACTTGTTGTCGCTGACGTGCTTGTACTTGTACTTGTAGTACTAGTTGTTTCGGTCGTAGTTGTCGCTGTTATACCGGTAATGTTAGCTGTCGTTACCGTACTTGTAGTGATTGTGGTTGTAGTACTGGTGGTTGACGTGGTACTTGTTGAAGTTGAGCTTGTAGTGCTTGTTGTTTCACTAGTTGTTGTTGAAGTTGTGCTTGTAGTAGTTGTTGTCGTTGACATGCTTGAAGTGCTTGTGCTCGTTGTAGTTGTTATCGATGTTGTTGATGTTGTACTAGTAGAAGATGTAGTAGTAGTAGTACTTGTTGCCGATGTTGTACTTGTTGAAGTTGTACTAGTAGTAGTTGTTGTTGATGTTGTACTAGTGGAAGTTGTACTTGTTGTAGTTGTCTCTGTTGTAGTTGTAGTGCTTGTTGTTTCACTAGTTGTTGTTGACGTTGTGCTCGTAGTACTTGTTGTTGATGTTGTAGTAGTGGATGTTGTACTTGTGGTACTTGTTGTTTCTGTGGTGGTCGTAGTACTGGTTGTTGCCGTCGTAGTAGTGGAAGTTGTGCTTGATGTACTTGTTGTTTCACTCGTCGTTGTTGATGTGGTAGTAGTAGTTGTGGAAGTACTAGTTGAAGTAGTTGTTACTAAAATATGAACAAAGTAGACGATGAATTAATGTTATTTAGTGATGGCAATCTTTTTATTATTACTTGATGTTGAAGTTGTTGTTGTAGTTGTTGCTATTTTATAGAAAAAAAAGAAAGAATTGAATTTGAAATTATGTAGGATAATTGAATAAAAACTATTTGTGATAATAAAAAACTTGAGTTACTGATTGAAATATATCGTAGCTTCTCAAAAGTGATACTTTTTCAATTAAACAGTATAGCTATTTAAAATGTTGATATCCATCTAAACAAATGTACACAATTATTAAATTATTAGAGTAGTTGACTTCTTTCCTATAGAATTTTTGATCTGTTCTTTTATTAAGTGACTAACTATAGAAAAATCTATAAGTTTCTTTTTTCGCGCATAGGTATCAAACAACTCAAATTGTAATGATAATTCTTTAATAATTCTTGATTTGAATAGTTCATCAAATAATGTATGTTAATAAACCAGATATTGCTACGAATAGAGTAACTATTGAAATAATATGAGATATTCTCATTGAATTATCCAACGTATTTGATTCAACTAACTGATTCCTTCTTTATTGGGTGGTTGACTATCAAAAATCTGTAAGTTTCTTATTCGTAATTATTTATGAAATACTTTGAATTGTTATAATATTTTTTTAATAATCCTGCTTTTGAATAGCTCATAAAATGATATACATGAAAGAATCAAGTTTTATTGCGAATGAAGTAGACATTTGAATAATAAGAAATATCTCATATTCTTTTCACAACCTCTTCTCGAAAAAAAATCAATAACTTTAAATAAATAGCTAAGATTTTTTTAAATAGGTGCTCCTGAATATATATATTACATGTAATTAAATGCATGAGAATTATTTAACTAGCTATGAGATATTTATAAAAGAATGAGATATTAAAAAGTATCTATTTTGAGAATAACCCATTTGGGACAAGTGATAGTAAAATACTATTTTAAATCAGCAAGATATATACATTTTGGATTTTTGTTTACCATCAACAACGATTTAAATAGCTATACAAGTTTTTTTCAATAGTGCTGGAGATTGAATAGCTAATGGAGAAAATAAAGTCATAGTAAACAAATAGTTGAGAAGCCTTGGAATAACTAAGAAGATGCATTAAATAGTGCTGAAGAATTGAAATAGCTCATGTGCAGAAGATTGAAAAAGTTTCCAGCTAAGCAGAAGTCGAAAACATATTTTTCTTTGCTATTTGGCAAAGATTTTTTATATAATAAAAATTGTATTTATTTTTCGAATGAATCAACGATATATAATATTTAATTATATTCATTTAATGATAATCGATGTTTTCAATATTCAATATCTTACCTCATTTTATACTCGAAAAGTATCGTCTATGAGCAATATGAAATTTTTTTTAAGACAAGCTTTTTATAGGATATTCAATTGAAATAAAATAAGATTCTAGTCGTAAAAATACTATTCAAATACGAACTTAATATTTTCATTCAGATTAATATTATTAATCGATGCTCATTTGTTTCTAAACGTTTTTTTCCTAATTTCTTTTTATGTTAATACTTTGACAAGTTCATGTTTTTAAATAAAAAAAACAAAATAGTGTTGTGTGTTGTTGAGGAGATTTAAACATAATATATTTCTTTATTATGTATCGTACACATTTAATTAATTAATTAATGAAAGAAAAACTTTTGTTAGATAAGAAGAAAGATTTCAAAAATTTCAACTCTGCTAATTCTTAAGTATATTTAACAAAATTTTAATTCTTCTTTGATTTATTTGTCTATCTTTTTTTCCTATAGAAAATGTCTAGTTTACTGTACTATAATACAATTAAAAGAAACTACTTCTATTGATCTACAATAGATTTAATATATAAATAAGTTAAGTTAAATAAGAAATGTAGAAGAAAATATTTTAAGTGAATAATCTATTTCAAATGGTGATTAGATCAATCGGACAAAAATCAACTTTAAGAATTTTCAATAAATAATTCTTTTAAAAGAACAAACATAAAAATATCTATTATTGATTATTTCGATATAATAACTTCTACAAATTACGACATGAATATATTTAGATAGTATTCTCAATATTTAAAGATTTTTTCAAAGTATACTCTGTCATATCTAATTGTAAAAATCTAAGATTAATTACAGATTTCTACTAATCACTGGTTTTGTCTCGTTCGAAAAGTTCGAATAAGTAGAAAAGTTCTTAAAATTTTTAGTCATTAATAATCTCACTTCTATTTCGTCATAAAGATTAAAGATAATTAAAAATTAGTTTTATCTATAACGGTTGATAGAAACTTTCATGAGTTTTATTTAGATTTTATCGAATTAAATTTTAACGATGAGATAATTAATAGAGTCAACTTTCTATTTTCAGATAGGAACGAATTTTCTTGCTTTAGATTTAAATCTATGAAAATAAATATGAAAACTTCACTAGTTGTTGTTGTCGACGTTGTTGTGCAAGCACAAGGACACATGCAAGTACCGGTCACAGTTGTTGTTGTTGTGTCTTGTGCTTGACGTGCAACACGTAGATGAACGTCATTTTCTTCATATGATATATATGAACTTCCTCCAAAGACATTCTCATGTAGATATATTTTAATAAAATAAATCTATCTTACGATCAATTGATAAACCATCAATGATACTGATAGAACAAAGACATATCCACAAAATGAATTGACAAGAATTCTAATTTAAGAAAAGATAAGAATTAAACAATAATTTTCATAGTTTATCATTCAAATCGAAACTAATAAATGATTTAGATTTTGTTTTTGAAAAGATTTATTCTAAAATATTGAATTCTATCACATAAAAAAGTTATCATAATCAAAGAACGAAATTTCATTATGTAAATCGTATTAAAACTATGAAAATATGAACACAAAAGTAATTTTTTAAATGTATAAAGTAACATATATATTTATTTATCTTCGATTTTATGTGAATATATTTAATCAATAATATTATCTTCATTAGAAATAAATCATAATAAAATATTTGAATTTCAAATAAAAATATGTTTTTCATAAGAATTATTTTAAGATCAAATTTTAATTTAATTAATTCACCAGATATAATATGAAATTCTTGTGTGAACTTACCATTTTCTTAAATTGTCTCAACAATCGTATGATTTGAAAAAATCCTATTGATTAAGAATTTTTCATAAAATATTTTCTTAGTGAGTTATACGCAAAGAATATCTATTTTATATCTAGAAGAAGAAAAATGATGAAATACGTTTTATTAGTATTGCCGTAAGAAATAATTTCATAAGAAGTATTTTTATTAGTGCAATTTCAAAAAAATCTTTAATGTTTTCACTGACTTTTTTTGTTTTTTAAAAGTTTTTTTTAGAAAATTTTGAAGGTAGGATGTAGATGATCGAATGTTTATCTATGCTTCTGAAAGATTCAAACGTTTTAATACAAAATTGTTTTTTTCTTTCTTCTTTAATGTTGTTGTCGTACATTCATAATTGTATGTTTACCTAACTTATATTTCTACAAGAAATCGTACGTTTCAGATAGAATGCACGTCTAGGAATTCAAAGAGCGTGAAGACATTCTTTGAAGAATATTTTAAAAATATCAGATCAGACAAATTCAATACGAAATTTTAATCTTTTAATTTTGTGAAAAATAAAACTCGGCTATTTTTTACTATTTAAAATTAAATTCAACATAAAATTATTTAAAAAAAAAGAAGATCTCATGTCAGTTGTTAAAATTCCGTATGAAAAACATCTAAATTTAATCAACTATTTTATACTTATATAGATAATAAAATCTCATGTATCAACTTTTACTTTAGGCATACAAAAACTAATGATAAAATTATTTTCTATTTGATCAGAATTACGGTGATATTATAATAATCAACTTCTTATCAGATTTGTGAGAGTTACTTCACTTGTATCGATTACTTTTGTAATTAATGCTAATAAAGCTTCACCTACCTATTTCTCTTGTTGTTGTACTAGTTGTCGTTGATGATTTTCAAGTGAATGATGCTGAAACTTAACAACTTCTATCATATGCTGTAGTATTTCCGAATTCGTTTCGGATAATGAGCCGGCAGGTTTGGACTTATAAAAATATTCATGTAGTTCTAATTATATACAAATAAATGTTAAAATTATTTTAAAAGAGTTTTTCTGAGGGTGTGGGTGTATATTTTATTGTTCATCACACTCACACCCACACCCTCAAGACCATACAAATACGATCTGAGTATTGTCCCTATAATAACTTTCCTCAGTTTCTTAATTTCACTATATGATGTGCTTAGTAACCTAGCGTTGTCGTTTTTGCAGTACATTTATTGTTCCTTTGAGGATTGAGTCGAGCGAAGTCCAGGGGACTGACGCGTAACTTGTTGGTAAAATAAAAATGTTTTTATAGAAAACTTCGCTAAATGACGAGAATTCTACATATGTAGAAATTTATAGATTTCTGATTTTGATCGAGAAGTTGAATGCCATGAGATGATCTTGTCTATCGAGGCATATGGTTGAGTAGGGACATTGCTCAATTAGAAATGAAATATGATTTTTGTTTCTCTCCGATAATATTATTTCGAATATTTTTCTACAACTACACTTTCATACGGACGAACTTTCACTTATAAGACATTTGAAAAAAAAATATTCGCTTTTAGAATCAAATTGATTTATTTAATTTTGTATAAAACTTGATTATTCTATCGTTATAATTGTGTAGTAATTGTTTAGAATTAATCAATTGAGATTTTAATCGTTTTCTTTGACTATTGAATGTAAATTTCAAACGATAATCTTGTTTCAATTAAATAATAATAATTATAATATATTTTCTCTTTTTTTATGAATTGAATATCATTTCTATTCTAATAACAATCTTATCTTTTTCTATTTGACAAACAATGATAATGTGTCAGAAGTAAAAAAAAAGAATATTCTTTTTCTTTTTTTTTGATCAAGGTTAGAAAGTATATTACGTCAATTTCTTTTCTTTCTTTTTTGCATGAAGAATAAATACTGCGTATATTTTCCTTTTCATTCTATGTTAAAGATGTCCATTGCGTATATTTTTTTCTTCTTCTTCTCCTTGTTAATGATAAGTTAATATTACGCACATTTTTTAACTGAAATATTCTTCACATCTTGACTATGCGGTTTCAATC